CCATTTAGTAGTAGTAGTACAAAGCTTTTTTCAACTCATGGGAAAGGTCTTTTATCTCTTTTTCCCATAGGAATTGCTTTTATCAATTTATTTAAATTTTGTAACTTTGTTTTCGGGAGCTTGAAGGATCTTATAAAAAATTAAGGGCTCATATCTATGACTACCTTGAAGAGAGTCACCCTTCTTGCCATAGAAAGACTTAATATTCCATCCAAGCAATTTTCTCTAAACTTTCACCTCTACTACCTTAAATGTTACTTTTCCAACTCTCCCATCAACAATGGGAACACCAAGATAAATATCTTTCTTTGAGTTTAAAGGAATTTTGTATATTTTTTCGATAATCTTTTGGAATCTCTTATGAACATTCTTGGGGCATTTTGTAGTTAATTTTTCGAAACTTGTTTCACTAGTAGAATAAATGCATTTAGAAGCTCTTGGCTAGAGGCAATCAAAACAAATTCCCTCTATAACATGTTTGTTTATTATAGAATCACTTTCTAATGCCTTTATAATGAAATTTTTACCCCTTTATTTTAATTTGATAGACAAAAAGAGGTAGTCACTATTTAGGTTTGGCACCTAAAACATACATCATGTGCTAAACCTCCACTCTCTCTTCCACTCCATGCAAACCTTTGAGCAAGTCTTCTCTTTTCTCCTCTCCACAAACCTCATGTACCTGATCTCATCTTTTTTTTTTTTTCTCCCTCTCTTCCTTCAGCCTTTCTCTTCTCTTTTCCATTCCTCCCTTGTTCAAATCGAAGAAGGTTAGTTAACTTTTCAAATCCTTAGAACTAGTGGATAGGTTAGTTGACTTTTCAAATCGAAGAAGGTTGTTCAAATCCTTAGAACTAGTGGATAGGTTAGTTAACTTTTCAAAAATTTTAAAATTTTGACAGTTGAAACTTTGAAGCTAAACCTCCTATGAGGTCAGTCTAATCCAAGTATAAATCTCCACTATACCCTCTCTTCTTTTCTTTCTATATAACTTGATTTTTTTTGTGAGTAGTCAATGGAAATTTTCAGTTAAGAGAGTCATTTAGATAAGCTTAAGTAGTCTTTGCAAGTCTTGAAAGAAAAGGACTCCAATTCGCTTCCTTTTGTTTATTTAACCTAAAGCATGGATTTATTTCTATTTTTTGTATCAAGTTACCTCTTCATAATTAGAGAAAAAAACCCTAAAAGATCTAAAAAAAGAAGCATGCAATAAGTTATTAACAAATCTTGGTTGTCTATGGTTGAGAATTCGGAGAAGCTGATCCAATAAACAATCCATAGTTAGTTCTCTATTTTGATGTTGTAACTTAGCAATTTTTTAGACTAATGTATGATCACAGAAAAGCATAAGATAGATGGATCATTTTTTCTAAAGAACAATGAAATAAAAGAAGATTTATTAAGATATCCTTTATCTAATCAAATCAGGTGAAGAGAATATGATGTTTGTACTTGATTAAGTTTTTATTAATGAAGTTTTGACTCCTCTAAAGTACCTTTCAATGAAATGTCTTGGTGAACTATAAATGTTGATGATTTTTAAGATCTGTTAGGCAAAAAAGAAGCTACTGATTTGTTTACCATAGATCAATCAAACCATAATGTAGTCATATCTTCTTTTAGTTGAATGTTGTTGTTAGGGGGTACTTATTATCAACAAGGATTGGTTCTAATTTTAGATGAAGGGAATGTGATGTCAATACTTGTTTAAGTTTTTATTAATGAAATTTGGATTCCTCCAAAGTGGCTTTCAATGAAATGTCTTGGTGGACTATAAATGTTGATGATTTGTAAGATCTATTTAGGCAACAACACAAAGCTAGTAATTTATGCACCTTGGATCAATTAAACCATAATGCAGTTATATCTTCTTTTAGTTGAATATTGTTGTTAGGGGGCGCTTGTCAATAAGGATTGGTTCTAGTTATAGTGATTTTTGAAATTGGAATACTTAAAAGTTGGTAAGAACTCACTCTTCTAAGTATAAATTAAGTTAAAAAATGACAATAAATAACATCAAAGAATATAAAGGAGTAGAAAAGGGAATAAACATATCCCATGATTTTGAAGGAAAAAATTAAAAGAACTATTAGTCTTAACCCTTTCACTAGTTATATTTTGGTGTATTTAATGCAAGAGGCAAACAATAAAATAATGTTTGGTCATTAGACCTATATATTTCAACATTTTTTTTTTTATGAATGGTTCTCAGAATTGATTTCTAATTGCACCAATTCTAAATGCCCAATATCCATTTGGTCAAGAAATTGATTTCTGATGTTTTTTTTTTTTTTTGAATTGAGAAATTGATTTTCTTTAATAAGGAAAGGAGAATTGTTTTTCATCGGTTAGATTTTATATGAACTTTAGGTGTATCATTACTGTAAGTATGTTCTTTCTCACTTGCAATAATGGTTTGCAAAGAGGAAAAATAACTTTAGAATAAGAATGTTATTTTTTAAGTATAAGGCCTATGCTTTTCCCTTAGGCTCTATAATTGGTTTGTAGGATGGGAAAGGAAAATATGGAATATTCTAGAACATTGCTCCCTTCCCATGCTTGGTCTGTGGGATGAGAAAAACGTGGGATTATAGATCCCAATTCTTGGGATGTAAAGTCCTACCATTTTGGTGGGAAACAAGTGAAAATGTAGGGGGAAACTTTAACAAAAAAAGGGATTGGATTTTTGACTCTAACAACCCATCAACTTTACAAGAAAGCTAATTTCGCCCTTTTATAATTTGAGAGGCCATTTTAGACCTCAAACTAAGTTGAAAGGTCACCATTAGCCCAAAACCACATGGTGTTAGTGATGTCATTCACAATTTGTTAAATAACGAATAAAATAATAAAAATTTTTGATGTGGCAATATTCAAATAAAAAATTGATAAATTACAAGTGGGTCCCACTGCATGTTAAATCTTGCACAAGAATATATAAGATATTTAATAATAGGTGGGTTCCACTTGAAATTCTCTTTTAGGAGAAAAATAATAGGTGGGTCCCATGTATTATTTTATTTAATAAGTGACAAATATGACATCACACCACTGCCACTCTATTTGAGACTACGTTACAAATATGAAAATGTATCGATGCTTAAACACATTGCGTTTATAGACCATGTTACAGAACTAAAAATGGAACATATAATACTGAAACACATCATGTCTTCTCAACTTCTCTATCCTAAGCTTATCTTTGTTTCAAGCTTCAATAAAAACCTGGAAGAAAAATGGAAACCTAGAATCATATCGGCGTTAAGGGGGCATCCCAAAACCACCTAACCAGTTGTACGGGGTAGCTCCTCCAGTGGCACGCCTGCATTATTGTATTTGCATTGTTGGTGGGCTCAATCCCAATGATTTTTGGTACAAACTGCATTTTGCACCATACAATTGAATTACTAGATTTCAGCCAAGATGAGGAGTCAACAATCTAACCTGGTCTGAAAATTTCTATTGTGAGTTCATGGGTGAAAGCCAAAAATCCAAAAAAAAAAAAAAAACACCTTCTTTATGGTATTTTTAAGAGTTAATACTAGATCCATGACTCATAAATAAATTATTAATGATTTAATAACATATTAGTAAAATAATTTAATTAAAATAATTAATAAATAATTAATAAAAATGTTAATCGATAAGTATTTAAATAATTAATTACTTTTTAGAATAAAATATTAAAATTATTAAATATAATAAAATAAAATATTAGTAATAAAATATAAACTAATAAAAATTAAAGTATTAATTAATGTTAATAATTAATATCAAATTAATAATTAACAATAAAATACTAAATCATAAAAAAATATTATTAATTAATTAAGAATCAACAAAAAAATATTTATAGTTAATTGATAATTAAATAAATATTTTATAATTAATAATTTAATTATAATAACTTAAAAGAAAGGGTAAAATATAAAATCCTCCCCTAAAGCTTTTGAGAATCATTAAAACCTCTCCTATAGTTTCATTTTAACAAATGCCTCCCTTGAACTTTTGAAGAAATTGACAAAAACCTCCCTTCCATCATTGACCCAAATGGAAAACATAAAAAGTTACCAAATTATTCCTAACTAATTGTCACGGTGTCATTCAAAATATGTTAAAATGTTAAAAATGCTCTCAGTCAATTAACAACACTTTTACGATTTTACGAATCTCTTTTCATAGCAAAAAATAGAGTGTAAACCCTAACACCACTAATTGTTCTTCACCATTGAGTGTTTGTATGTGAAATAGTTGAATATTTGCTGCAAAAAAATAGAATCTTGGTCAGAATAAAATAGCTTAACAGGAACAATGCATTGATTGATTTAAGAATAATAGTGATTCAATATATATTTCTTTGAAGCCTCCCAAGATTCAACAACCATAGAACTAATAACAAGCAAACAAACAACTAGAAATGCAGAATTGTCAAAAGGAAATTCAACATTGCACATTTACAAGCAACATTGCTTACAAATTTCTCAAGGGATTTTGCAATCATTACAAATACACACAGTGATAGCTTGTAATTGAACAAATATCTCTCTCAAGATCACATCTCAAAGGCATGTTTCGTTCAATCCCCACTCTAATTTTAGTGCATATAGTATAAAACATGCAGAAATCTATTTATAGAAGTAAGTAGAATATGGTGAAGGAATTTGCATTAAGGATTATAATCAATCCATACAACATAGAGCCAACTCCATTTGTTTAGAACTGTTTACAATGGAATTATCATTAGCCTCACTACAAGAAAATTGACTTTTAGCGGCAGTTTTGACTGTCGCTGAAAGCTCTAGAGGCAGTTCTCCCGACTGCTGGCAAAGCTTAAAAACTACCGCTAGTTATAGTTTTAGCAGTAGTCATGACTGACGCTAAAGAGCTGTACCGACTGCTGCTAAAACTATATATATTAAATAAGCTTATAATTTGCTTCATATAACCTGTTTTATATTCATTCATCCAAATCTAAGTGAAATACAAAAACAAACATCAAATAAAAAAATTTATTCTCCATTCATTCATTCATTCTTAAAAATACAAATTACGTCATTTACAAAATCTTCTTTTCGACTTCTCTCAAAATCTTGTCTGGATATGAGAGAGAACTTCTCCTCTTTGGATATGAGAGAAAAGTAGAATTCCTCAAGCTCCCAAAATCCTGTCTAGATATCAAGAGCACTTTGTCAATATGCTTGTATTCAACGAAGCCATAAATGATCGTGTATGATCGTTGCACTTCTTGGAAATGTTATTTCTAATACTTCTCTTATGAACTTAAGTAAAAGCATAGAATCTGTTGCCTTTGAAAGGCCATTAGCAAGATTAAAATATGAAATTGAACTCAAAGTTTGACAGGAGACCAAGAAATCCTTAAATATTTGAAACAGAAGCTCAAAATAATTCCCTTCACCAGTGGCCATCAAGAGGGCATTATATGAATTTGCACTCAAGAATAACTACTTATTGCGTAGATGATGTAGTAATCTTGCAACATCCAATAGATTTCCACCTCTGCATAGCTTCTCAACATAAATAGTATAAATTCCCTGTAAGAGAGTGACAAAAAAATCTGGGTCTCTAATCCTTCTTTATGGTGGTAATGGAGTCGTCCTTGCTGTATCTATGCTATTCCATCCAGTAACATACCACATTTCTTCTCCCACATCATCAAATCATAGAAAGCCTAGAATGTGTAGGGCAATGCAAATTGTCAATAATCTCAAATAATGTGGAAAATAAGCTCTTAAAGATATTTAACCTTAAATGTTGTCCAATTAGCTTTTTCAAAACCATTTTTAAAAGAGTTACAACAAAAGCTTTTAAAGTTAGAACCAACCTATCTCAGCTTTTCATAACTAGAGTAAATTCAAGCTCTTCACCCCTACTTTAGTCAAATACATAAAACAAAGAAAAGCTAAACATTTTATAAAGACAATAAGAAGTCTACTAATTCAGGAAATTACAAAACAATGAACTAATCCTCCAATTCCAAAATGAGTTGGACTAGCTTCAGGGCCAACCTAGGCCCAACAATAAAACTTGCCCCCCCCCTCCCAACTGAAAGTTGAATCCAAGCTAAACCTAAGCAAAACAAAGGCCAGGTTTGAATCTAGGTGGATTTAGTTGGGTTGGTCAAGTTTGAGTGTTTTCTTTCTAATGTGTGTGGTTTTTTTATTCAATTAGACTATATACTTAATTACTTATATGGTCAAAACATCATAGCAAGCCAACCAACTTTGACATAACAAGATGCTGACTATTCCTAATCACTCCAACCCTTGAAACCACATGGCTTTAATAAATATATAAGAAATTGGTGCAATGGGTTAACAGTTTTCACTTGAATCTTACATTCATAACACTTCTAAAAGCGGGTCTAGCCAATCCTCATATATTCTTGGTAAACTTCAGGTACTTAATATTGAATCATACATTATTGAAGTGATTATTAATCAAATTGAATTTCAGTAGATTTATGATTTTGAAGGGCAAATGTATCATCTATGGACATATTAAGAATTTGAACAAGGTTCAAGCCTGGATCTTTAGGATGAAAACAGATAAGTAATTTGCTCCTAAAATCCCATTGGTTAGAACCTAATAATTTTACAACTTTAATTTGAAATTAGTATCCATGTCACAACATCAAAATGAGCGCAACCTCAGTGCTAATTTCACCATCATCATCCAAGCCTTACCCCAAATACATGGGGTTAGCTACATGAATCCTGTTTTGCCATTCCATTCTATTTAATGCCACATCCACTACTTACTTAGTGTGCCAATGCTTCTTACTGATAAAAAAAAGGTGTATGCTTCTAACATTTACAAAAAAAATAGTGAATACTTGAAAAGATCTTCCAAATGTTTCCCATTCTATGACTTAATACAAATGTTTTTTTTTTTTTTTTATAAATATGACTTAATACAAATATTAAGACAATATTTTTGGGGATTTTTCATATTATTTGATGATTGGGATTGGAACCAACCCAATTTTTAAATTTCTGACCTACTACTTGCATGACCCTATTTTACTTCCATCCTTTTCTTTCCTCAACTAAAAAAAATGATGAACAAAGGATGATAATATTGTAGTATGAACACGCTAACCAAAAAGTATAGGTATTCTATGGATGAAAATGGCTTTGGTGGAATAAATTGCTTTTAGCTCCACTATTTGTTGGATATATCTCAAGTTCCAACTTATACGCATGGTGATTTTGATTTTTCAAGGGTGATGAGGTGTAAGTATAAACCAATTATTTCCCCACTATTGTCGTATTGAGATTCTTTTCTTTTTATTCATTTAATGGGATTGGAATAGACAAGTTTTCTTACCTATGATAATGGGAATAGAGTAAAACAAATGGTGATCTATAACAGGTTTTCATCTAGAACAAAAAAATATTCCTTCAAAGTCCACTAGGTAGTTTGTGATGCAATCTATGAATCTGTATGTATATAAAGTGAAGTTCAAAACAACATACCCACTCTGGTTTTGACTTCAAAGAACTTTTGTCTTCAAGAAAATCCCTGACCTAAGAAACAAAGTATTTTAAAGCATGAGTAGTACCTATTCGAGTGTTTATAAGGCAATATAAACATATGCGTACACATACTAACTTAAGTCATAAAAGCAAAGGGAGGAACAACATGAAATTTACCACTTGAAAAATTCTATCTGAAGCATCACCTCCCAATGCCCTTAGACCTACCATTGCCTGAATATGCATTGAAGTCAGAAAGAGTGGACAATAGGTATGGAAGACTTGAATAGGTTAAATATTTTATAATAGAAAAGTAAAAAAAAAAAGGATATCATAAGTACACACCCCAACTCTGACTGGTGTCTTGTGACGCAACTCTTTAGGAACAACATCTTCTACTTGCTCCAAAAGAGATAGCAAAGAATCTACAACCTTTTAGGGATCATTGGCATGTGCACTCAAACCTGGTTTTTTCCTGCAACAACAATGAACCATAATTATAGTAAAACATGCACGCTAGACATGTACATCATAGATAGGCCTCATATATGTTAACATGAAAATGTCTTCATTTATCTCTAAATATGGAGCCTAAAATAAGTAAAGACAGGAAACATTCAAAGAACAGAGATTACTTTGAGTTTTACAAGTGAAACAATAGGAAGCAACAACCACTCAATGATCCTTTCTATTGACCTCATATGCTTTGTCCAATCAGTGATACAATAGAAAAGATACTTGCAGTGGAAATTGATTAACCTCAACAATTTAGTAGGCAAGAATTAGTAAATTTTTGGCTTAAGCCACAGAGGTTTCAGACATACTAGCAAACTATGGGCTTGAACCAAATGAATATGCATTCGTGGTGAATGCCCTTCGGAAGAAGCCCCAAGCATGGATTGATTTCAAGAAGTAAGTTGGCTTTGTTTATATATAAAGCACCATTTTAGAATATGTTTGGACCTAGGACCAACATTTGACATAAGTAGAATAAGAGAAAAAAATTCCCATATAACTCTGTTTCAAGAATGAAAAATACAATAAATAATTCCATTATACATATGTGCTATGCTAGAAAAGATCTATTAAAAATGAATGTGTTTAATATGTCATCTTTAAAAAAAATACAGAATAAAAATTTTGGCATTATTTACATGTCAATGTATGCTTAATCTATTATAAATATGCTTCATTAAAAATATATTTATAATCATATTTATATTATTAGATATATCACAAAATAAAGCACTCCTATATTTTTATTATGCATTTACGAAATCTGTATTATTCATGTATTATATGCTTTAATTCCTATGATTTTTTTTTTTGTGTATTTGAATGGTTCAACATCTAACATATTTTTGGATAATATGAAGATTCACTATATTTTTAATTAATTTTTAAGGTCATAAGTGCAATTGGTTGTGTATGTGATTTTTGTTTTCAAAATTGAAACCAAAACCATGTTCTTGAATTTGGTTTAAAAAACATGTTTTCATCTTATTGTTCAACATCGTGTTCCATAAACCAATATTTTGTTGGTTCCAAAATCATGGACCTCTCCATATGTGAACTTCTATTTACAAGCAGGACTCATTGGATATGCTAAACTTCTATTTACAAGACCTGGCAAGACTAACCTGTAGATGATGTAACACTATATACAAACCAATCTTATCTGCACCAAGCACAAGAAAGAAATAAATAGTCATTAGGTCCATATATTCACTTAAAGAAGAAAAGATATGAATATATATGGGGGTTAGCGAAAACTGATGTTTTTTGAAAATTTTCTGATTTTAACAAATCATTGAGGTCAATATTTGCTATTGTCACCAAAAAGTAAAATCAACATTGAGTGAATTTGAATTGAAGATGCACTTTTCACTAAAAATTGATAGAATTTGGGTGCAGATTTTGATTTATTTTTTGTTTAAATTTTACCTTATTATATTTAATTGTAGTACAAATGAAGTAAAATAAGACCTGTCATTAGAATAAAGTAAAACCCAAAACAAAATTAAACTAGAATTTGTATCTAAAATGACTAGTGGGAATTAAACTAGTCAAGCATTTGTTGTAGTTGGGAGAGGTCCTAAAACATTTTCATTCTTAAAAACTTAGATAGTGTATGATGACATTCATAGGGAACGTTTTTGGTGTTCTATAGAGAAACAAACAATTGTGTTTCTGTTACTAGAACAACAGAAATGTTCCGTAAAAACTCCACCATAACACTTTAAAAAAGACCGAAAACTCCAAAAGTAAGAGATGACTCCAAGAATAAAAGAAAAAGACCAATAATTGCATTTCACAAAAAGACAATCTGAAAAAGCAATGCCAATTGGAAAAAATAGAACTCCTTAAGATATAGAAGCTAAATTCCAAGATGTGTATACGCAATAGAGGCAATCTGAATAGGTAAAAAACATATTTTCATCTTGACAATCATGTTATCAAAGTGTAAATATTAGTTGCCTGCGACTAAGCAAAAATTATGTTGAATAATCAATTAATGAATAGGTCCAATAGTAGATCACAAAGTAATTTTGAAGCTTCATTTGTTTGTGTTTATCTCTAACTATTTAAAATAATATAGTATATGCTTTTACATGTTATATGCGAGACCAGATCTACTCCTCACACAGGGTGCCTCACACACACATCCTACCATGCATTGGGAACATCTCGCATACTTATAAGTTATTATTAACGGGAGAAGTTCCTAATGCACGGTGGATGTTCCTATGAGGCGCCCATGTGTGAGGAAAAGATCCCATTCTGTTGTATGGATGTCGTTACTTCAACTAGTGATGGAACATTGTTGATGTTGTATAAACATAAAGAAGGCATAAAGAAGAGAGTGTGGAAGATAGGTTCTTTTATGTTTTCTTTCACTCAATGGTGTGCATAAAGTAATTTTTTAATACCAAGCATAACTAGTCATTGCATTGACTAGAGAGGTCACAAAAATTAGTCATTAGTACTTAATCACAGTAACACTGTTAGCGAAATACAGATCATAACCAAGAACTCTTAATTGAATAAAAAAAACTCTTAAATCCACACCTTTAAATTTTGCGTCTCAACATGATATAGACCATGAAGAAGAAAAAATAAAAAGAAGGGTGACTAGGCCAGATCTATGACTGACCAATTTCTAGGAAATTTTGGTTTTTTCCCCTCAGGTGAGATACCATGTATGTGTCTATGATCTAAGAAAACAGAGTTATATCTCTGTTTCTCATATCAAAAACCATTGCACTCAAATTGAACTTATATCTAATTACTGAAATAACTAGAAATCAGTATACAATGAAGCAAGTCATAAATTTAATTTTGCACATATAGAATCTAGAATAATTAGTACGGATGCTCATTCTCTTGGATAAAAAAAATAGTTTTCATTAGCAAGCATTTAAAGCAAGACCTTTACCAAATTTGAAATCCAACCAATAACTTCATTTCGAAAGGTAAAGTACAATTCTATTAACCAAAAAATATCAGTTGTACATAGGGTTGTTCATAACAAGACCCAAACCGACCAACTCGGTCCGGTCCAACCCGAGTTGGTAGGTTTTTCTTTAGCACCATTCGGTTTCGGGTTACAAAAAAACATAAACCGATGGTTCGGTTCGGTTTTGGTTTTCATTTGTGATATATATATATATATATATTATATAATATATTTCAGATATTATATATATATATATATATATATATATCTGATATATTTCAGTTTTACTATATATATATATTTCAGCTTTATTTAAAAAATATACATATTATATATAAAATTTTTGATATATAAAATATTAGTTTTAATCCATCAAATCATTTTTAATTTCTTGGCATCCAGCCTTTTCTTTCTTAGACTTGAATCCTTTACCGTTCATACCAAGGGAATCATTCACAAAACCAACCCAAACCGATTCAAACCGACCAAGTCGGTTTTACTTAGTACAGGGTCGGTTTCGGTTTCATTTCTAGGGAAACCGACCAGGTCAGGTCGGTTGGAAAAACACCAGTAAACCGACCCAACCCGACCCGTGAACAGCCCTAGTTGCACATACAAAAGAGCCTATATGCAATATATGTATTTATCTGGAATAATCACATGCAATACAATCTTACAAAGAGTCATAATAAAAAAAAAAAGGAACGGGATTCTTTGAATCCCATGCAATGGATAGTTATGATTTAAGCATTGCTCAAAACCTTTCTAAGGATTGCTTCTAGTGTCAAGATGAGAATTTCAAATATATACGAGTGTCCGTTTTGTTCCAATGAACACGGATTGCTTCCAAGATGAGACTATACATCTCAGAATTTAAATAATTGCTATCTTAGTGCAAACAGGAATCAACATGATTCTAACCAACAGGGATCTATAGCCTAGCCAATTGAATCCCTTAAGCTAATCAACATGATTTTACTACTTTTCTACAGAAATTTAAGCAAGTCTAGAAAAAAAATTAAGAAGATAACATCAGATTCAACAAGAAGTTCGAATAAACCAAACATGGTTGATAATGAATCTAACCTAATTTTACCATTAAACTAAACAAATGATGAAATTTCCCTACTCATATCAACATAAATGACAAAAGTCCAATCCTAAAAAGGGGACAACTATCCTAGGTCATGGGGGCTTTCAATCTTACCTTTTGTCGGTGATGAATGAACAAGGATGTGAGATGTGAGAACTTGAGACGAGGAGGTTGTTTTAGAAAAAAGAAAATCCAACGAAGATTGTTGGAGAGAGAGAGAGAGGGCCTTCATTGAATCAATAAGATTGTGAGGTGATTATGAGAAGTCTATTTCATTGGGAAATGAACATGAACTTAAGATCTAAGAAAGTCTCCCACTTGTTATTGCACTCAAGCTTCAAAGAGAGATTCAGTTGCCGATGAGAGAGAGAGAGAGAGAGATTGGGAATAAGAGATGAAAAACTGGTCTACTGAGAGAGAAAGAGAGAGGAGAGTGGGAATACGAAAGGCTGAGAAATTAGAAGAGCGGGAGAGGGAAAATCCTAGGTTTCGCAGGGTTTAAGTGGCACCGACAAAGTCTTAAAATTTCTACAGCAGTCACCCATGTGCTAGCTAAAAAACTGCCGCTAATGCCTATTTTTCTTGTAGTGTCACAAGAGGACATACAAAGTTATACCTCCAAATCAATACAAGAATTTACTAATGATATCCACACACTAGTTTTGATTGTTTCCATTGAACTTATGGTGGTGCAGGGGTGGTAGACGGGGCCCATTCAAGATTGTCAATGATTTTCCATTGGTCAATATTTCAATTGATCTTTAATTTCTTTTGATGATTGGATTGCAGCATCATCATTGTTGTTTCTCTTTCTAACTTTATCAAGATCACCACCACTAAAATGAATCCTACCCTTGTCCTTTTCACCTGAACATGCATTAAACTACTTTTTCCTCTCCCATTTTAACTTAGATTCCTTTTGATGCTTGGGATTCATATCAGCACAGTTAGTGTGCCTCTCCCCATGCAAAAGAACATCTTTTTCTTTTGTTTAATTAACTCTAAGATTTCAGATGATAGCCCAATGAGTCTTCCCAAGATGTTTCTTTATTTCTAGTAGTAAAAAATATCAACTAAATATATAATTGACTTGAAGCTCCAATTAGAACCAATCTTGTAGAAAATAACCCCATACATAAAGGCAAAGAAATATAAGTCTGAATATCCATTTTGGTTCCAAACTTCTCCCTATTCACTCTACAAAACTAGCCTAGATGWGAAATCAAGGTTATGGCCACCCTAACTTTCATTGCACTTACCTTAATTAAATTTTGTCATTATATGTTTTATTGTGTATTTACACAAGTAGATTTTTATATCAACATTTAGTGTAGAAGATAAATATATTTATTTTCTTATGCTGCTTTGATGGATTGAATTTGAGAAAAACTAAATTGATTGTAAGATATAGCTAAATTTTCCTTGAAGGATTTTAAGGAAGTAAGGAATTGTTGTTAAAATAATTGTTGTAAGTAAAGAGCCATACAAAAAAGCATGAGATACCAAATTGGATGAAGAATTTTGGGAAGTATATATTAAGGTACCGATAATGCATGAAGAGCCACTCAATAAGGCCACATTGATGTTATAAAACAATTGATACATTTGTTGAAATTATTATTGCTTGGCCTTCGATTTTGGTAATATTACAAACTTACAGATAACTATTTTTTTATTTGTCATTTGTAGCTACAATAGTTAGAGATATAAAAAGTTACTAGCTTTCAAAGATTGTGCCTATTAATTTAGGGTCCATTTGGTTTGAGAGAATAGGAATTACCATCAGAATCAGAATGGTCCATTCCTATTCTTGCCATTTGGTTGAGTGGGATGGGAATTCCATTCTCATTCCCATTCTAGGCAGAATGGGATTACCCCATATGGGGGAATGGCCATTCTTAACTCCCCCCTAGGGAATGCGATTCTCATTCCGGTCTAATGTATTTTTATTTTATTTTATGACAAAACACCCCTTTGATTTCACATCCCTAACCGACCAAGTCTGACGGCTCTGAGCATCTCCATTGGCCTCTATATTTTCCTCTATGCAACTAGTTGCTGCCACTGCTAACCCCACATCCAGCAAGGTAAGACCGTCATCAACCACTATTCTTCTTTTTTTTCTTCTTCCAAATGAATTGCCCCTCTTCTTTCTTCTAATATTGACCCCATCTCCGACAACGCTGACCACTTTCCTCCTCCTCCTCCTCCTACTTCTTCTTCCAAATCAATCGCCCCTCTTCTTTCTACCATTGTTGGCCCCATCTTTGGTGAGGTAACACCGCCACCAACCCCTCTTTTTCTTCTTCTTCTTTTAACAAGGGAAAATTTTGAAATTTTGGTTAATTCCGATTCCAACTTCTACTTGAACAAATAAAAATATTCAAAATCCGATTCCAATTCTGGGATGAACCAAATAGGCAGCAGAAATAGGTGATTTCCTTTCTGATTCTTGGGAATTCCGATTCCAGCCCTTCTTGTGAACCAAACAGACCCTTAGTTTATTTTTCTTTTTGTTGCGTTACTTTTCTTTATAGGTTAAGGAAGAAACAACTAATGAAGGCTAAAAGAAGTAGTTTTTCTTTATAGGTTAAATGGAATTTCTTTTGGACTTTATTTTTTTGTAGGTTGTTAATAAAAAAGTTATCTACTAAAGAAGAAGGAAGAAGGAAAACAATGAAGCTAAATGTAGTGTTTTTTTTTGTTCTTAGATGAAAGTTAATAGAAATATATTGTATTGTTTTTGTTTAATCATCATGGAAAAATATTCACAACCTTTGGTTAAGGTGTATCTTTTTGGATGAATTGGTCTAGATAAATTTCATACAGATTTTGTATATGATAAAAAATAGCTTTTATTTTTTATTTGAACCTCTTCTAGTTAGGGTGCCAATCTTGATTTTTTATTTTCTGATTCATTTGAAATTTATCTTGTCAAAACTTCAACACTAAGAAAAATATGTATAAGGACAAAGGGTCACTCTGTTTTATATTTCTCAATGGATTGAAACTCCTAGTTGGGGATTTACTTATAAGCACATGAAATGACAAAGAAATACTGATACATTTCATGACCCAATTGATCCATTTATAATTAAAGCCAAACYCCTACTTAAAGCTATTGTAAGTCTTGTCCATACCAATTTTACAAGTCATTGTGTTTTTATTTTTTTTCTTTTTTCTATATCACAAGCAATAAGAATATTATCTATGTTATTTGTCTCTTAGGCATGTGTTTGGTTATAGTTCAAATCTCATTTGCATGGGTGTAAAACCATGGGAGTGCAAATAAGCTGAGTGTAAATTTTGGTTTATTTTTTGAAAATTTCCAGTTTAGAGGTGAAACAGAACTGGTTGCCTGAATGGTTTCAGGTTCAAACGGCCCGACCGTCTGGATCAATGACGGTATGAAAATGATGCAAATATAGCAATATGATGTTATGGAAGATTTGGAAGAATATAACAACAACAAGGCCTTTAACAATGTCACTTAGCCCCCACAAATTATCATGGGGAGAGTCAAATGGCCATTCTTATAATATATTAAGATAGCTCATCAAAATTAAGGGTATACTTTTGGGGTAGTGACAAATAAGTACTTGAACTTTCAATTGTAACACTTAGGAGTATCTTGAACTCTCAAAAGTAGACACTTGGGTCCATCCGTGAGTATTTTGTCAATTAAACATTACATAATGTCAAAAACACCCTTGTTTTATATTTTTGAAATCATTCTGCTGAGTAAAATCATCACTTGAGAATGTCATTGTTGGAAATTTGAATATGTTATTTGGTGTCTATGTGAGAACATTATTGTGGGGAGACGTTCAGTTACCTAATGATCTCAAAAATTACATGAGAAGGATATTTTTGGCACTATGTAATGTTTAACTGATGGAATACTCATAGATGGAGCCAAGTGTCTATTTTTGAGAGTTCAGGGTACTCAAGTGTTGCAACTAAAAGTTTATGATAGCTATCTGTCACTATCCCAAAAGTACAGGCTACCTATTTGTAATTTACCCTAAAATTAATTATGATGCCTCTACTCTMTAGGAAAAACAATGGACAATGTGTGCGCCATTGGCCTCTAAGCTCAAGATAGAGAAGGGAAAGTTCTGAATATGGTTACTTGCTTGATTAATGAGGTGTGTACTTGGAGCTCTGTGTGCCTGAGTATGTGGTCTTTTGCTTAGTTTTGGTCGTGGGTTGGTTAGGAGTGTTGAACAGTTTATCTGTGTAGTTGGTCGTTTGGAGGCTTTTTGGTGGGAGCAAGGTTTGGCTGAATGTGGTGGCTATTCAGTAGGATGTGGAACCAATTATAAGTTTCCATGCCAGTACTTAAATACATAGGGCCCACACTTTTTACAGTGGGGCCATAAATTTATTAATGGCATGGAAGCTCATCATTGGTTCCATAGCTAGTTGAACAGCCATCTCGTTCAACTAACCCAAATTCTTTACAATCTGTTTGGTTGGTCGATTAAGAAGAGAAAATGGGAATATTCTCCTTAGATTCTCATTTTCATTCATTTGTTTTGTGTGATGGACCGAGAAACAGTGAGACACAGTTTCCCAAAACTTGGAGCGTGGGGTCGCATTGAAACGATGTGACACCAGWGAGAAAGGAAACAACACACGAAAAAAGAGGTCCGGTGGAGGCACACTGAAATGGTCACACTTAAATAGTAGTGGCATCATCAGCTCATCGATGAYGATCGTTGACGATGTCATAGGGTCGGTGGAGGTGCGCTGAAACAGTCACACTGAAATAGTAGTGGCGTTGACAGATTGTCATCATCTCATCGACGACGTCAGAGGTCCGGTGGAGGCACACTCAAAACGGTCACTTGCCTTTGGTTCAAGTAGCAGAGGCAAGCAGAAAAAAAGATGAAGAAGAAGAGGAAAAAAAAAGAAAGAGGGAGAGGAGGAAAAAGAGGAGAGATATCTTGATCGATTAAGAAATTGACTTGGTCGATTGAAAAATATCCTTGAGAAATTGACTTGATCGATTTAGAAATTGACTTCTTTCATGACCTTCAATGTTATTCTTGCCGAAGAAACCACCACTGCTGGTTTGGAACCGAGTTGCAGAGATACAAGCGAACCATATCTCAGAAAACTGGCGCAGCCTATGATGAAGAGATGAAGTAGTTGTAAATTTCCCTTCTCATCAATCAAATACCGGAATGCCAAAATGAGAAAATAAATTTTCTATGCTCATCCCATCTTTTCCCATCCCATCCCTTCTCATCCCATCGCTTCTCAGCAACCAAACAGACTCTTAGTGGAGCCGTGTGCTGTGATTTGGCTGGCTGTTTGGGCTGTTCCATATTAGAAGCAAATACAGGTTAAACTGTGTTATTCGCTTGTAATTAGAGAAACCTAGTCAGCAGCTGATTGGATGACAAATCTAAGACGGTAGTGGGGATGTTACTCCTGTGTAAGGTTGCAACACAAAATTTTCTTTTGCACTGGTTTAAATCCATGGGAGTGCAAACGGGTTGTGTGCAAATTTTGGTTTATTTTTGTTTCACATTTGACTTTTCTTGGCTCAATTTGGAAGGAATATAAATACAAATATGTAAAATGCAAAACCTTGCATTTTGTATTATTTTATATGCATTTGTACTGTATAAATTTGTATTTATACTTTTTCCAAACTGAGCCTTAATTTGTTTGTGTAAAGCAAAATCGGAAGTAAAATGAGTGACTTTAAATGAAAGAAACTGAAGGTAATAGGAGGGTTATAGGAGTATGGCAGGAGATGTAGCCCCAATATTTTTACATGGGAAAGAATTGAACCTGGCACAAATTTTGTATCAGGTAAAAATATAAATTATAATTACAAACAAACGTAAGCAAAATTGAACCGGTAAAAAAATTTGCAGTCGGTCAAGATTTATGGTATTGCAACCAAAAACAGCCAAAGATGCAAAAGTTGAATTAATCGGACTAAAAGTGTGTAGGCCATGCTGCCATGTATGAATGGCTTTATAAGGACTCCCTTTGATCCACTGGTCGAGATTATCTACCCTAATGTGAGGTGCCTTCTCAAAATCCCTTTGAAAAGAGAGAGAGAGAGGGGGAATATCCTGGAAGTAAAAGCATTAAGAACTTCACCAACCAAACAAACTGGCATGCATTTTAATTATATTCATTGAAATCAATAAAAATAATAAAATTTTAGTGTGATAATATAATTGTTCTTTGTTATTAATAATTTATTATTGACTTCAGCTTATATGCAAATAAGGGTGTCAATGGACCGGTTTTGGATGGATTAATTCGGTCTAAAATATTTATTAGATTGGATTGGACCTGATCCATCCGTAATAAATTTATATTTGATTGGGTTGGATTAAATCAATATCTTGTCCTTTGATATAAGATAAGAATATAAGTGTCAATGAACCAATTTTGGGTTGAACCAATCTATATTAAAATGAATTTAAACAGATTGAACGGTCCAAACATTAAACTGGATCTGTCTAAAATGATCCAAAATATTCATTAGATTGAATTGGACCTTGCCCATTTATAATAGACTCACATTGGAATGGATCGGATTGGACCAAATCCAATCGAATTAACACCACTATATGCAAAGTCAAACAAATTAATGAAGCTAACTAACTAGAATGCAAAAAGAATTGTATTATCTGTTGACTTGGCATTTTAAAATCAATGACAACCTCATTGTCAATGTACTGAAGTATGTTTACTTTAATCTAATTGGGTTCTAATCATATGGTTTCTAGCTTGCATCAGGATTAACTTGATATATAAACTAAAGTAATCAATGCCCTAATTATCAGCAGCCAATTAGTTAAGAAGGAAATATATATTTCTCTGGGTGCTAAGGAAGAAAGTTGAGGGAATGTTATCAATGAATTAAAAGCCTTTTTAATATAGAATGGGGAAAGGAACATCTAGTTAGGGCTTTATTTAGGAATCCAAGGGTCGCTTTCATTCTTTTGCCCTCTCTCTTTCTCTCTCCCTCTGCACATGCAGTCTTGGCCAATTCGTTAATTTTTAAATAATGTACGAGTGCTTACAAGTAACCCAACAGAGTTGAAATTTGAACTGATGACCTCTCAAACCTCATCATCATCTACTTCCCAGGTTTTAAGTAGAAATTGGGGAAGTCATGCTACACCACGTCAGCTCTGTACATGTGGAGCCCATTATGAAGCTGATGTGGAATATCAATGGGTAAAACTTTTTTAGGCTGTTCCTACCAAACTATCAATAATAAAGCTGTTTTGATCAGGATGCATGCATGAGCTCTTGTTGTTGTAAGTCTTGAGTTTGTTTCGAAATTAATTTATTAGTTTTACCCATTCGAAGAACCAGTTGCCAGCTCCCATTTACAATTGATTTGTCTCAGGACCATCTGGGTTTGACCCACTTAATAAGGATCATCTTATGTTGCATGCATGTTCTGTCTCTGAGTTCTTTAAAAGGGTGGTCTCTCGCTCTTTGCGATATTTTCCATCATTGATTGATACAGATTACAGAACTCCATCCACCCCGTAAGCATCCATGTCGATTCAAGGCCTGCAGCTTGAGGTTACAGGTATGTCTGCACGGGTTCATTTTAATTTTGCATGCACACCATCTTCATTAAATTTCTTCATCATATCGATTTTCTTCTGATTTTGGGTTTCTCTGGTTAATACAGTTGTAGGGTGCACCAGATTGAAGGACACAGAGTGGATTTCAAGGCAGGATCCTTACGTTTTCATCGAATATGGGAACACCAGGTTCCGGACCAGGACCTCGACTGGTAGGTTTCCGTGTCCAGTATTAATTCTGYAATCTCATTAACTGCGTAATTAATTCATTTTCTTCCTCCCTGAACCCGGCCATCAGTTAATGTTTCTTCCTTGATTTGGTGCAGATGGAGGCAAGAACCCTGTTTTCCAAGAGAAGTTCAGCTACACCCTCATTGAAGGGATACGCGAGTTGAGTGTTTCGGTATGGAACAGCAATACACTTACTACTGATGACTTCATCGGCAGTGGAAAGTAATTCTCTCTCCCTCTCTCTCTCTCTCTCTCCCCTTCCTAACATGTATATACATATATATCAAGATTAATTCATTGTGATGAGAATATATTGATTGATCAACTACACTTCCAAAAACACATATCACATACCAATTAAGTAATCCCACTAAAGCCCAAGTTGTCCATGCTAATCCCAATTCAGATAGGAACCGGAATCTCTAAATTGGCTATTGTTTTCATTCAATTAGCTAGGTGGCAAGGAAGATTCAGAATCAATTTAAGGTGTGGATCGTTTGGCAAGTTCTATTAAGAAGATATTTTGAAAGTTTAGAAACCAAGAGATATAATGAGTTTTTGGAGTCTTGTCTTTAAAGATTTAGGCCATTTGATAACGATAATTATCCTCGTGTACCATCGTCTACAGAGTTAAATGAAAGATTTTAGGTACAGAAAGACGCATCATAGGTCTTTTTAGCTTCATGTCTTTCACTGTCAAAAAGGAGATTAGCCTTCCAAAGAGTTATGAAAAGACCAAAAGACCACATGAAAAGACTTACCAAACGACCACGCCACAGGAAATAGAACCACCTTTTTCATCCGGGTGATTTGGATTTGGACAAGTGATTCAACTATTTGAGTCAAATAGGTCAATCAATCAATTATGTCATAACTCATAAAATTAAGAAAATGAAACCAAAGAATTAAACAATGGGTTAATTAATTTCTGCATCAATCTGAGCTCAACCATGTCAAAGTCTGCTAGCTTCTCTTTCGCTTTCTCTTTTCTACTAGGATTCAACTCCATAAGGCCCTTTCTCAAGGCTATGAGGACAACACCTGGTCAATACAGAGTAAACATGGAAGGTACATACTTTATATATCACTCACCCACCCACCCTAGACATAATTACTTTTCATCTCAAAACTAACTTTACAATATTATTAATCCACGTCCAGGTATGCCGGAGATGTTCGACTTATGTTGCACTGTCCACAGTTGAATGTAAGCTTGAATCGAACCGAATCCAATCCCTCAGTTTCTATTACTATCATTAAGCACATAGGATAGGATAGTAATTAAGCCTTACATCATTAATTGCAGAGACCTGCAGTAGCAAACAATGCTAATACTATGTGCACCACGCCTCTTTATCCTGCCCCTCCATCTCAACCTCATTACCCTTCTTTCCCGCCTAATCCAACGGCCCCGTTTCCATCATCTGTTTATCCTTCTCCTCCAGTTGGGTCGTATCCTCCTCAACATGCATATCCAACGCCCACTTATCCTCCACAAACCTACCCATCGTATCCAGGTAATTAACTTGATTCATTCATTTCTTTTATCTCTTCTTCATCATCTGGGTTCCTCTACATATGTCTAAGCTTAATTAATTACTTAATACTAATTTTATGGAATTAATGCTTACTGTTGCAGCAACATACACAGGAGTACTGTATCCCCCACACCCACCAACTTACTGATGATATATGATGTTCTTGTGGTGATGACTGATGATGGATGAATGCCCACTCAAAACCATTGTGAGCATTGCTTGATCGAGGTTATGTTAGTCCTTTGTCCAAGTGTCTAAAGAGTAAAGCTTTCTCTTTCTTTCAGATTATTTGGAAGATAGATAATTAGCTTTCTTATTTGACTCTACTGTTTCCTATGTCATATTCTTTTAATTCTATTCTTTTAACAGAGATTTTTCTCAAGGTTTGAAACTTTTGTGTTATTTTAATGAAATTTTTTCAAGTATGCATTTCTTCATTAAATATTAAAGCACAATGAGAAGTTTTCTATCAGCAATATTATTACCTCGTGAGAGTACTGCAAGAGTGAAACTACACAGCGACTCAAGTTTTGGTGGATGTTACAGGATGAGGATTCTTTGTATACAAGTTTGATTAATTGATTGTATTAAAGGGAGTGATTCTAAATTGAATCTATATACAATTTTGTATATAGATTCAATTTAGTTAAGAAGATTATACATAAACAAGAGATGTGACAATAGACAGAACAAGATGGAGGAACGAAGAAGTTATTCGGGAAGGATGTGTTTCACACAACCAATTAATTCGATGGCTGTGTGTTAGAGAATAAATAAAAACCAACATACAACACCTCAAAACCATTGAACCTAAAAGCTTTGGCCTTAGGTGACATCCTTGAGTAGGTTTTTATTCTATTATACACCCCTTAGCATGAAATTCTATAGGGCTTAAGCATGAAAAAATAAAGGCCCACACATACCATGCACACCTCAAAACCATTCAGTCCAAGGTCAGAATTTTTAGGCCTAAAGTACAATTGGGGTAGGTGTCARTTCGGAATTAATGTCAATTCACAGACGGGAACTAATATATAAAGTGGGGGGGTTTTGACCTAGATCTGCAGTGGAATTCAGAAATCTGCAATGGGCCTGTCCGTACTTGTCTATATTTTATATATAATTTAAAATTCTAAAATACCCAAATGCTCTTCAAATAAAGTCATTAATATAATGTAATATATAATACGTTTGAAGGGCACAAGATGAATCCCATGCCCCAACCCCTACTTTACTTACAATCGAAGAAATGGTCCTAACTCCTAAACCCTAATTGGGTCAGTTTTTTTCTTTCCAACACTAATCGTCGGTGTAACCATTCTCAATCTTCACTCTTCAACTATCTTCTGCTGCAAAAGCACTTCAGTCTTCAACTGCTGTCGGCATATCATCGTGAAACTGTAAGTGCACCTCATAGTTTCACTACTTAAAACTGTTTGGTCGCCATTAATACRTTATTTGGCCTGTTACCACCACTACTAATAAGCTATTCAAATCGTTGTGTTGTGATGAAGGGTGACTTGGCCCGACCTCGTAACAGGGGGACACGTGGACACGACTTGACTAACAGATGACAGTTCAGCATGATCAGCCCGCAGCATAACAGTCTTGGGTACCCATCTACCCCGGGCTAAAGTGACCTCGAGACAGGGTCACCCCGAAATGAGATCGCCTTGGTACCAGATCACAACAAGAACACTTACATGCCAAGGCACTTCGACATTCAGTCCAGTTCGGGACTTAAAGGCGTCAGCTCGGGGATACCGACGTGCCACTGCGAGGATCCCGAAAATCCCTCCGACAGTTCTCAGACTTCACGGGATCACGCCGCGAACAGCCAGTGTTATCTCCCCCGATCGATTCGGGCGAACTCGATAAACCTTATCAGTTAGCAACACTATCTCCCATTACCATGGAAACGGATCTCATCGTGACGAGGATTCCAGAACTACTCTGCGAAACCTGCGATGACTCCATTATATAAAGGCTCCACCCCCCAGGGGTGCAAGGTATGCTTGATTTCCTGCTCTCAAGCTCTCTCATTTTCAAGCAATTTTAGCTCGCTACTAGCCTACTGACTTAAGCATCGGAGCGACCTTGCCGGGTTAGCATCCCGGGGTTCTCTTATATCCTTGCAAGTTCAGTCTGCCATCCGTCTGGAAGCCAAGTCACCTCCAGCTAGGAGCAGCCAGATAGCGCTAAATCAATTGGTGCCATTTGTGGGAAGCACTACTAGAAGCCTCTTTCCACCAAAAATCTCAAACTCAGAATCAATGGTATCCTCCAGCAACGCCGGACAGAACGGAGAAATGAATGTCTCCAAGGGCAACCTCAGATCTCGACTGTGTCCATCGGTCAGTTCACCATACCGCTCTCTGCGGGTGGGATCCCAACGCTGACTGTGCCTCAAGCAACTGTGCCCGTGAACGCACCACTTCCTCCTGTAGTGGGTGCTACCTTTGTTGAACCATTTGTGCTTCCCCCTGGAGTCAGACAGAATCAGCTYGACGACCTGGTACACTGCGTGCGGGCTATTCAATCCCAAATGCAACAGGTCCAGCAATCTCAGCATTACCAGCAGCAGGTTTTGCACCACATCTACCAACAGTAGTTCCCACCGCTGCAGCAGAATCAATAGTCGGTTCCACCTCGGCATCCGGCAGCACAATAAAACAAGTCTCGCTATCAGAACAATTGCCCTCCTCGTCGGGGAGAGACTTCCTAGATCTAGAATCCTCTTGAGAGCCAGGTCTCATCCCACGGCAGGAGGGAAAGGCAAGTTACCCCTCTCGCCTCGTAGCAAGTGAACAGGTCGGGAGACACTCAGCCCGCTAGAGCTACTTCACCTCGGCCCTCGCAACTTGAAGGTTCGCTTGTAGGGAACCAGTTCGGGGTTCTGGCCGCGGACTCCAGATGAGGCCCCTCTGTCCACATCAGCCAACATCAGCAGTTCGAGCCACTCCATGCCAGGACATTGCCCAACAACACGGAGGTCAGCAGGACYAATGCAGAGCCAGTCAGGAAGCAACAAAGGTAGCGTCTTAAGGCATGTCGAGTAGTAGCTCCAAGCCAACTCGCTGGACCTAGTCAACCCGAGTAGCCTAAGGGTAAATAGGAGGCAAGCTCGGAAGCCATGAAGACCGCTCCCCTCCTCTCCGTGTCATCTCTTTTGTCCTCCGAGCTCCTGGCGACCCCGATGCCGAAGGACTTCAAAGTACCTCCGTTGGATAAGTATGACGGGTCATTTGACCCAAATGACCATGTAGACTCCTTCTAGCCCTAGATGCATCTAGCTAGGGCTGAAGAATCTTGCATGTGCATTGCCTTCTCTACGACCTTCAAAGGAGAAGCTCGCACATGGTACAGGAACCTCGTGCCCGGGACGATCAAGAGTTGGGCGCAATTCGTGCAGATGTTCACCTCGCACTTCATCACTAGCAAGAAGTGTCCGAGGTCACAAGAAAGCCTCCTCAACATAGTCCAGAGGGAAGGGGAGTCGATTCGAAGCTACATCAAACGCTTCAATGACACTTGTTTGCAGATCCCTGACCTGGATCCCGTTGTAAGACTCACGGCARCAAAGAAGGGTATTACCCAAAGGGAATTCAAGTGGCACGTAGTGGCAAACAAGCCCAAAGACATCACTGAATTCCTCAAGCTCGCCAATCAGTTCATCGGGACCGAAGAGGAGATGAACCAGAAGATTGAAGCCCC